ATATTACCTTATTTATTACTTATATTAGCGCTTCATCATTAACATATCATACATATATATATATATATATATATATATATATATATAATAGGCTATATTACATATTGTAATATTATATAATGTTGTGCGCTATCTGTCACGCCCACTGAAGGCTCGTCAGTAGATCACACGTGCGCTGAAGTGACCTAACCCTGGAACATAACCTGCTCCGGAGCAGGTTATCTTCAGAGAAAGTTACTATGGTTACTTACATACCCTGAAAGTAACCTCCGATTTTGGAACCGAAAGCCGCTTGCTTATCCTCAAACATACCCGGGTATATCACATAACCTGCTTTTTGGAATAACTTACCCCCCAGCTTGCTAAAGAGTAGTCAAAAACCCTCTAAAAGCGGTCTACTAAACCTGGGACCATAACCAGCCAGCCAACTTATGCTGGTTTTAGCTGATTTTCTTTCAGCAGGTTATGAATACATATCCAAAAATCCTTTGTAAATTATGGTACTTTTTGTTACTGGTACACCTACCTCGTTTGTGCTTGGTTTAGCAACATTAAACGAGTTGTTGTTTGTAAGACACAAGAATCGCACCCTCCTTTTACCACACTCCCAATACGACATATTGATGAGAGAAATTCCTCCAGATGCCATGATGATGTAAAGACAGGACAGTCGGCCAAAGAGCAAAAAAAAAAATTCAAATACCGAACAAATTACGCGTTTTTATTGCAAACGCCCTGCATGCCAGATATCTTCTTCAGCGTGGTCACAAAAGAAAACTGTACAACCGCCAACTCTAATTTAGTAACCGTAAACAGACAGCTTTAGCTATGAAGTGTTTTGTTTGCATGTTTAAATATGTATTACTTCCTGACTGTGGTCTCCTAGCCAATCAGCAGCCCTGCGTCAGAGCGTTGTACGGTTTACCCTTTGAACTGTAGTACGCGTCGCGCATTGTGGTCATCAAACATGGCTGCGGTGGAGTTTGGGGATAGCGAATTATTTGATCAGTTCGAAGAGAAAGCGCCAGAGCGCGATCGTATCATAGAAGAGGTTGATGATGAAGAGAGTGAGAGTTCAGATCGACTGCGGGAGCTTCGGCAGACATTAGAAGTGTGCGAAGACACAATAGAGCGTTTGAACGCAGAGAATATCCTTATAGCGTAGCATCCAGTGAGCGTGCTGGATCTCTCGTTTTAGCTTGAAATGCATGCTGGTGTAGTTGTCATTGTACATCTGATTGTCTTCATCCGATGTTAAAAGCCCTTGTAAAGAAAAATGTGGGATGTTTGTGTAGAACAGTTATGAGTTTAGTTCAGTTACGATGAAAATACGATCGAATTTGCTTTGATAACAGAGGCTTGTTTTTAATCTGCAATCGATATTATAAGTCTTATGTTTTTGTTGTGCTTAGGGATGTTCATTTTAACCGGTTAACCGTTAACCGACCGTAAGACTTTTTGACCGATTAATACAATCAGTTAAACGGTTTAAAAAGTCATTTATTTATACATTTTTTTCAGTAATTTATCAAAATATTTTAAAAGGTTTGCTGCATGGTTAAAATACGCTACGCATATATCACGTAACGCAAGTTAGGCTATAAGTCGCATTTTATTATTTCATTCAGAAATAGGCCTAATGCCAACGCGAAATGTTTACAAACATTATAATAAATAATGTTTATAATATAATAAACACTATAAACATAGCTAGGCTATTTTAGTTCCCCTCACTCCACAACAAATCCTTTCAATTAACAGTAGCTATTTTGAAAAGAACATTTCTTTTAAAATATAAGAAGCTATAAACGACAAGCCAAAATGAATTCATTTAGGTTAAACGAAACTGAAACCAACGTTGGGTTTCTCATTCGACACAAAATCAAATGTTTCCGTATTCGCGATGTATTTGAATGCCAAAATATTATTTATTATGTAGCCTAGGCCTACTTCACTGGCGTCCCAATATCCACGTAAAACAAAATGGTTTGTATAACATCACGGCGGTACGGTGATAACGCTTAACGGCACAGATTTTACTACATATTTAAACTGAGCAGTGTGTTTTTTTCCATATGTGTGACTGACTGTATTTTATGATGATAATGAACAGGCTGCATTGTCAAGGTAGCAAAGCTTAACTGTGTGCGCGCATGCGGCGCCGGCGCAATCACTTGATTTTTTTCCTTCTATCAGTGGAAGCAACTACTAAAGTTTTGCTTTTATTTGTGTACATTCACAATAAAAATCTTTGTGCTTTTGTAAAATAAGCCTAATGAAAAATAGGATGCCGCTTTCTGCTGTCTGGTTTCCTTTCGCGCAGCACAAAAATGAAATGAGCATGTGAATCCTCGTGTTCTCTTGTTTGCTGCTTTTTTCGGATGTAAAATGAATCCCCGGGAAACAAATGTTAGTATTTTTAGCGGGTCACAAGACACTTATCCTTTCTATTAAATTTAAATTCAGTTCTAATTTAAAATAATCTTGTCGGTTAACGGTTAATAATCGGTTAACGAGCGTCGATTGTCGGTTAGGAAAAATAACCGAAATGAACATCCCTAGTTGTGCTATTTTGGAATGCTTTTTTTAAAGCATACTGAAACTTCAGTCTTTCACATTCTGTAAATGACAGGCATCAGGAAAAAGATTGAATGTGTAGTATTTAGAAACCTGGCGCTCAGAGGATTAATTAAGTTCTAGTGTAATCTGTTTCTAATAACCAGAATTATAATGATATTCTTAAAAACACCAAAACTGACTGATTGGTCACCAATATATTGTATCCCTACTGTTTGACTACCATTTGTTTTGGTTTTATTCACTGCTTGTTGTCTGTCACTGTCTTTATACTGAGTCAAAATATGTACCTTAATGATGATCCACATGAGGAACTGAAGAGAAAGTTAAACATATTAAGTCGTCCTACGTGAGTAAAGAATGAACTTATTTCAAAATACAGTTAAACTGGGCATTCATTTAGAGTTATTTAATTGATTGTGGTCATTTTTATTCTAGTGGTATAAAAATAGAAGATTCCAAAATCGATGCGCCCCTTTGTCAAATTAACTATGGAAACAACATCATTTCGAAGTAGGTGTTTTCTGCATCACCCTTAATTTTAATGTTTCATGCTATCAAGTTTTTCCAGAACAGCAGTTTTATTGAGAGATGCGCTTGTGTGTGTGTGTGTGTGTGTGTGTGTGTTTAGGCAGTGTCGGAAAGAAATGGAGGACTTCATCTTCAGTCTTGTCCAGAAGAGACTACAAGAGTGTAAAAATTATCCAGAAGGCTCTGCTCTCCATGTCAAGCCACATGTATGCCTTTAATGTCACTGGACATTTCGTACAATAGTCTTCATCAGTAAGAAAAATTGCTGTTTTTTGATGTTTGCAGCATTCAAGTTTCGTTATGGAGGAAAGCTACAAAGTGAAGACTTCCAGTGACTTCAAGCATATAAAAAATGCTTTCAGTGTGAGTTCTACAAACCGAAGCCATACACTGTAAAAAAAATCCGTAAAATTTACGGTAGAAAACCGGCAGCTGTGGTTGCCGGAATTTTACCGTAAAAACATTATTCTTACTCAGTTGCTAATTAACCACAAATAAAACAAGTCTTTCTTGTTTTTGGATCTTAGATGATAGGAAGTGTTTTATACTTCACCAACTTCTGTGTTGATAAACTTGGCCAACCGCTACTGAATGAAAACCCCCAGCTGACTGATGGATGGGAGGTTCCCAAGTATCCTAAACATTTAAAGGAAGCTGTGCACTTACACTTGCTGTGCTCTTATTAATTTAAACAATGCTTTTAGTCTATTTGAATCATGTCTATATACATCACTGCTCCTGAATCATTTTTTCAAAGATACCAGCAGATCTTTGGCCAAATCATTGCCCTTGAGGGCCAAGAAGTGCAGATAAAGGAGAAAAGGTATGGCAAGAGTTTACAATAGTATAATTTGGATATCGATATGTTTGTTACTATAAGACTCATGCTTGTCTTTACAAGACTTGCTGTGACAGTCAGTAGTGCTGTTTTTCTTACTGCATTGCTTGTAAAGATTGATTAATTCCTGTTTTGTGTTTCATTTGCTTTTCTGCTTGAGGAAGTGAAATCTTGTTGTCTTTACAGACTGAGACCATGCTGTTTTAACTGCTGTTCTGAGGACCATCAACTGCGAGACTGTCCAGAGGTGTTTCTCTTTGCTTATAGACAAAGTTTCTGTTACTATTAGATTAATACTTACAATACTTACATTATTATGTTTTGAAATCGACATAAGATCATTTAAGAATGCAAGTATAAATCAGACTTTTTTCACTCTTTAAGCCCAAAGATATGGCTCGTATCAATGAAAAGAGGAAAGAGTTTTCACAGAACAACAATCAGAGCAACCAGCGCTACCATGCAGAAGAGGTCGAAGAGCGATTTGCAAAGTACAAGCCAGGAAATTTGAGGTCAGCCATCTTATGAAGTGTCACTGTGTGAAAAAGTCAAAAATGTCAGTCCAAACCTGTGAAGTTCACAGTATGTCCTTAACAAATGAATAGGTGTATCTTCTGCAGCTTTGCATTTATTGCATTCAATGGTTGGTTCATCCAAAAATGAAAATTATGTCATCGTTTACTCACCCTCATGTCATTCCAAACCCAATTTTGTTCATCTTCAAAACACAAATGAAGGATTTTTTAATGATATCCCACATCAAAGTTTGTCTTGCCAACTTTACCTGTCTAGTTTTAACTGAATCATTAAAGGGGTCATATGATGTTGCTAAAAATAACATTATTCTGTGTATTTGGTGTAATGAAATGTGTTTAAGTGGTTTAAGGTTCAAAAAACACATTATTTTCCACATACTGTACATTATTGTTTCTCCCTTTAGCATATAGGTGGTCTCATAGCTAACGGATGTGGACTCATTTTCGTTTCATATGATTTCATTTAAGCTCCAAGCTTACTGAATTTTGACTCCAGCACTGACAACAAAATAAATGCATTTTGTCTTTCCACCCATATTCCCCCCCCCAGATATTTTAATTTGGTAATTTAAGTGTCGTTTGTCTGAAAATCAACTCAAATGAAATGCAATTCGTATTGTCTTTGTATAGTCAAGAGCTCCTTGATGCGCTTGGGATGAATACAAAAACCCTTCCTCCATTCATCTATCGCATGAGGGAGCTCGGCTACCCACCTGGTTGGTTAAAAGAGGCAGAAATGGAAAACTCAGGCCTGATGCTCTATGATGGTAAGGTTGAGTTTTATATTTTATTATGGCCAGTCATCAGTCAGGTTAAAGCCCTTAATTATAAGAGTTTGAAAATGTAAGAAAATTATTACTAAGGGTTTTCTTACGTAAGGGGTTTGTTGCAGCTGTCCAAATGACATGTCATAAGGACCTGGGCCCGTATTCTTAAAGATTCTAAGAATCCTCTCAGAGAGCTCCTAATTTAGCTTAAAAATTGTCAGAGATGTGTCTCTAATAAGATCGGTCACAAACATGATCCCTGAACCATCAAATGTGTAGCATTGTTAACTCACTGTCATGCATTGTGTGCAACACATTTCTTCTCCCTCTTCTTGTTTCGTTGATTTTCTCCACTGCTAAAGAAACTCTCAAGCCTCTTAAAAGTCCTCGTCCGTACTCCTAACAATTTTGGACCTTAAGACCTCTTTTAAGAGTTAAGAATTTCTGAATTACTTTTTTCATTACTAGGATCTTTTCTTTAATTTTAAGAGGAAACACCCACATTTCTAAGAATTTTCTTAGAATTTTGTTACTAGGAGCAACTCTTAGCACTAAGATTTTTCATGAATACGGGCCCTGATCTTCACTTGTCATAAGCACGATTAAAGAATGATAGTGTGTTTTAAATAGAACTAAACTGCCATTGACTCTTTTACTTTTCTTCACAAGGATCAAATGATGAAGATGAAAACAACCACAGCCAAAAGATATCTTACGATGTCTCAAAGCTGGTTGACTTTCCTGGCTTCAATGTGTCTACACCCCCCAACGTAAGAGATGTAAGTGTACACACACATTTATTGGACACAAAACAATGCATGGATTATGCGAGCACTGCTGCATTAAGGAGGAACATAATGGAAAGAATTTGATGGTTAAAGTTTGGTGGAGTCTAGAGGGTTTTAGTTTTATTTGTAATGTTCACATTTGTTACTGCAGACATAATTTCAGTTTTGGAGGTCAAAGTCTTCAGTTTTCTTAGAAATGAATGTTTTAACTGCATTGATGGTTTAACCACTGGGTTGATGTTAAGAAACAAAGACAGAGTTACATTACTTTTGTATAATAATAATAATAATAATCATCCATTAGTAATGAATTATGTAGACTGGAAAGAATTAATAAAGAAGATCCCCTGCAATAATGATTCTTCCAAACACACAAAGTGTGGTACCGCAATACAACTTGGTATGGTGATACTTCAGCAAAATTTTAACAAAACAAAGATATTGCCACAGCCCTACCACTGACATTTTCCTCAGGAAATTTAGAACAGTTCATTTACAGGCTGACCATCTACAAATGCAGGTTTGTATGGTTATATATTATTTACCTGCATGCTTATGCGAGTATGCCGGCAATTAAAGATGATCTAGTCCATGATTAATGCATACTGATGTAAATCTTTATTTCCCACTATCTAGGTTTCTGTTTTATTTAAACTCAATTTATTTAAGTTCTAATTTGTGGGTTTTTTTTTTTTTTTTTGTCAGGTTTACCGTGTTGCCTCAGCACTGGAAGCAAAATTTTGCTGCTTTTTTAAGCAGTAACTTTCCAACGGTAAAAACATCTGTTAAAAATGTTTTTCTAATTTATTGCCTTTATCCTTATTTCCCAAATTATTTATGACCTTGTGCATCGATATGTGCTCATCAGGGCTCCAGCTGCAGTAAGAGACGTCACGAGTCTGAATCCACACCCCAGAAGACAAAGAAATGGAGATCCAATTCAGAAAACCACGAATCAGACATGGAGATAGAATCAGGTACACAACTTAAGCGTTACTAGATTCTGTAGGTTTTATGACTGCAGATTGTTCTGAAATGCATAAACTTACAGCTGACCAACTGCCAAGTGCTCTAATGCTTCACACAGCTTGCGTTGTCATCCCCTTTTTTCTGCTGCAGCTCACTATGTGACTTACACTATTTTTCATGTATTCATATCAGAAGATACTACACAAATACTAGTGATGCACTGAAATTATTATTAATAATTTTTTTTGATGATTGTGTTGCCATATTGTTTGTGATTATTGAATGATAAATATACTACTAATAATGTTTAGTGAAGTTATGTTCACACATCAACTAAAAAAAGCATAGGCTTAAAGATCTCGGTTGATAAAAATGAAGATCCATTAAAAAGACGTCTCCATCTGAGAAGTGCTAATTAAACGTTACAGTATCGTTCAATGATTTTGCCCTCGAAAAAGTAAATTTTCGGCCAAATATTTTCAGTTGCTTAAATTTTGTGCATCTCTAAAAAAATACTTAATTATCGTGAAAAAATGTCATGATTTAATTTTTGTCCTCCTACAGATCATGACATGTCTCAAATTAGATCTGATGGTTTCCAGTTCCCCCCACCACCACCACCTCCTGGCTCTTCTTCCTTGGGCGTTGCTCCACCTCTGCCGCTGGGAACGCCTCCATCCACACCTCCAATCCCTAAAGGAACTCCACCCCCAACTCCACCTACAAATTATTCTCCGTCCACTCAAGCCAGAGGGTTGACTGAGAGGGAAGAGTCAGAGGATGGGCTGACTCTGGAGGAACTGGAGGAGCAGCAAAGGCTTCTTTGGGCAGCCCTTGAGAAGGCAGATACTGCAACCAACAGTGATTCTGAAGCTGGAGCTTCTGAGACCCCCGTCCCAAGTTCCCCTAGTGTCGTCGCTTCACTTAAACTTGACTCGGAGGAAGACGGAGAAAAGATGGAGAACTCGAGTCTTACATATGAAATCAAAAGTACACCAATGTCACCTGTTGAACCAGTAACTAATGCATGTGAGGATGGGAGGATAGATGAAACAGCCAGCGATGGCCAGGAAAAACATTCAATTAATGAAAAAGTGATCGATTTGCAAGCGGAGATGAGTGACATTATTGTGCTGGATGAAGTCTATGAGGAAAACACTAATCATGATGCAACAAATGGAACTTCAGACACTCCTCAGATAAGCACACAGGAGTCAAATGCGCAAGTGGCCGACGACATGGAGGAACCTGTTGTAAATAAAGTAACTTTCGTTCCACACCGTAGCAGATTTGCTGCGGGAATAATTCCTTTTGAGGACACACCTGAGTTTACAGAGGTTGCTGAAGCAACAGGGGTTTACCTCAAGATTCGAGATTTACTGAAAGGCTCCCCAAGAAATCAGGCCAAGAACAAGAAATAATCGAAGTCGTCTGTTTTATACTGCCCACCTGTGGACAAGAAATGTTTTTTTTTTCTCTTATTACAGTCCTTTTGTATGTAGTTTTACTTTGGTGCTTTGTATCTTTTTACTGCTATTGTGTGATTTTTAAAAACACAGAAAGGTTACATTTGGTTTGTACCTGAATATTAACTGACTGTGGGTACTTGTTCTGTGTGTAGATGTTTGTTTGTTTTTATTCTTGTTCCGTTTTCTGTAATTACAAATGTTACTCCTACATCTCATGCCATTCTGATTTGTATGCCTGCCATAGATCATCTGTATAATTTATTCTGAATA